ACCACCAAATCCGGCTATACTGATTCTACTTCAGAAATATTTTCTAAATTTTGTCACTTTAGTCAACTCCTTTACCACTGTTTTCATTCAGATCCTGAATATTAATGCTAACCAACTGGTCTAACAGCTTCCAAGCTCTTCTCTTTTGTTTCTGTTCTCACACCTTTCCAATCCGTCTTTTGTATGCCAAGTAATCTTCTAAAACTTAAATCTGACCTCACTATTCCTGTGTTCAGAATTCTTTAACACCCTGTCACCACTTCTTAATGTGGATTTCCTGTTCTGCTTATGTCAGAATGACTTGGGGTACTGGTTAAAAATGTAACCTTTAAGGAAGTTTCTTGAAAACATCCCCAAATGTCTTTTCTTGCATGATGCTGCATTCCCAATACATAAAACTGGTACACAACAGGAGCTAGGCAAATATTTGCTGAATGAATTAATGAATTAATGAACTGCACTCCAGACCTAATGAAGCAGAATCTGGGAAAAGAATTCTGTTTTTTATCAAGACCCTTGAAGTGATTTTTATCCACATAGAAGTCTGAGAAGCACTAATACACAGGATACTGTCCAAATTCTGTAGAATGGTACAGTAAGAAAGGCCCGTCATGATCTGCACCCCAGCTGCTTCTTCACATTTATCATTTGCTATGCCCCTTTTGTTCCTGTGCTTTAGCTATGGTGAAACACACTTTGATTCATCAAAACCGTTGTCTCTAAATCTGTTAAACATCCCTTTTCCTGCTGTGTCCCACTCTCTTTTGCTAGCTGTACAACTTAACTCAAGGGGATCTCCAGTGAAGCTTGCTAGACACCTTCATGTCTCTCTCTTCTATGCTCCCACAGCACTGCTCAATTATGGTAGTACTAAAATACTATTTTTGCACTACTTTTCTTTGTTTCCATTTCTGCTTTTTGGACTGCTCCACGAGTTCCTCAATGTCAAGAACTGTGTCTTATTCCATTGTATTTGCAGAGTCCAGGATAGTGAGAGTAAGAACTTACTCTCATTCAAATGTTTGTTGAATGAAAGAATGAATGAAGAGAGGAAAAACTGGGGAGAAATGAAATTATAGGGATTAAGATATAAATTATAAAATGATGCTCTGGGAATTTTTGAAATCAGCAAGCCAAAAAACTGGAATCCAGTGGTTCTCTGTTTTCTCTTTAGTGTAATTGTTCTCAAAGTTGTGGCCTGGGCACTCCTGGAGGTGTTCAATACCATTTCTGGGGATCTGTGAATCAAAATTATTTTCATGATACTACTCAAATACTATTTGCCTTTTTTATTCTCATTCTCTCATGAGTGTATGGTGAATTCTAGAGGCTACATGACATGTGGTACTGCAACTGAATGAATACAGAAAGAGAGAATTCAGCTTCCTTCAATTAAGGTAGACAGTATAAAGACTGGCAAAAATGTAAAATAATGCACTTTTCTCATTAATTTTTTTGAAAATTATATTTATGTTACTCTGTAATGGGTCTACTATTGTTATTTTTAAGTTAATTAACATTAAAATTTTTGTTTTAATTTTTAATATGGCAGCTATTAAGAGATACAAATTTTAAAAAGCTCCCTAGAGTCTTGAATTTTTAAAGTGTAAAGGAGACCTGAGATCAAAAAGTTTGAGAAGCACTAGTCTAGTCTTTTCATAAACTGATCAAATTGTACAAACTAGTTTAAAGCAGTTACTCATCCAAAATGCAGAAAATTACTACTTAAGAGGACCCGTAACACAAAGTTTTTACTTAGATTTTTTGCCACCACTGAGCCATTGGCCAAATTTCTTTGAGCCCACATGTTGAAAGCTCACCTAGCTTTCAAGTCTGTCAAAATTTGGCACTTCTTCCATAAAGTCCTTTGCTGTTTTTTACAACGGCACCTGCTATTTGGAGGTTTGATCTGTATAGCATTTCTTCCAGGTCTCTTACTGTTTCATATTTTAATTACAGTTGATGCTTGAACAAGGTAGGGGTTAGGGGAGCAGATCTCCTGTGCAGTTGAAAATCCCATGTAACTTTGGCTCCCCCCAAACTCAGTAATAGTCTTATTGGATTGAAACCTTATGGATAACATAAACAGCCAACACATATTTTGTATGTTGTTTACATTATACACTGTATTCTTATAATAAAGTACTAAAAAAAAGTTTTTCCCAAATTGTAGCAAATCTCCAAAAATGTTTCCAATATATTTACTGAAAGAAGTCTTTATGTAAGTGGACCCATGCAGTTCAAACCCATGTGTTTAAGGGTTACCTGTACTTGTATACTTGCTGCTATGGTCTGAATGCTTGTGTCCGACCAAAACTATATAAGGAAATCCTAATACCTGAGGTGATAGTGTTAGCAGGTGGGGGACCTCCACAGATCTCTAGCCCCTTCTGTCATGTGAGGATACAAGAAGTCTGCAACCTGGAAGAGTGCCCTCACCTAACATGCTGGTGTCCTGATCTTGGACTTCCAGCTTCCAGGACTGTGAGAAATAAATTTCTGTTGTTCAGAACAACAGAACTGCCACCCAGTCTGTGGTATTTTGCTATAGCAGCCTGAATGGACTACGATACTTGTTTTTCATTCTTATCAGACCATAAAGTCTATGAAGGCAGAGTTGCATAGTGTGGAAAGAGAATGCTCCAGGATCTAACACACCTGGTTTTGAATTCTAGCCTCCTTGTTACTGGGACCCAAGGCAAGTTTTTTAAATTCTTAGGATTCTAGTTCCCACATTTTGAATGGGAATAATAATAACTAACCTTTTCTCTGCCCAGTGAATACTTAGCACAGTGTCCATTGGGCACCTAATACATAGTAGCTATTACTATTAAAAAATCTCTCTAATGAAAACCTCGGATTTCCAATTGTATTACTTTCAACACTATAGGTGTTTGATAAACATTTCTTAAATTAGAGTAACTGAAATGTACAATGTTATAGGACCTTTCCCTCGAAGCAGAAAGAATATGAGGCTCAAACAAATGTCAAAGTTATCTACTCTTTTTTCTTTATAGATTAACTTCCTCTTTCTTATAAAACAGTAGGATTATTATCTTTCTGTCCCTTTAAACCTTGTTTTCTTTCTCACTCCTCTTAATCTATAACTATAAAGCTCTCAATAGAGTTTTGAAAAATAAAGCTCTACCTCTTAGCTATACTCTTTGCCTCCCCTACAGTTATTTCTCATCTGCCATTAGGTTGTTCCATAAGTCTGAAGGGGTATGCTATTATTCCTGAGATTGCTAAAGAAGAGATTATTTTCCTTCCTTCAGTAGTGGCAAAAATATTTTATTTATACTTGTTTCATATATATATGTAACACACATGTATGAAAAACTATTTTATATATATATAAAATACTTTAAACATACAGTTTGTGACTTTCGATGGTTTGTCTTACAAAAATTTTGACTTTACAATGGTGTGAAAACAATACATGTTCAGTAGAAACCATACTTTGAATTTTGATCATTTTCTGAGCTAACAATATGCAGTATAATCCTCTCGTGGTTCTGAGCTACAGCTCCCAGCTAACCATGTAATCATGAGGGTAAACAACTGATATAACCGTTCTGTACACATACAGCCATTCTGCTTTTCACTTTCATACAGTAATCAATAAATTACATAACATAGTCAACTCTTGATTATAAAATAGGCTTTGTGTTAGATGATTTTGCCCAACTGTCGCCTAAAGTAGGTGTTCTGAGCATGTTTAAGGTAGGTTAAGCTAAGCTATGATGTTCGGTAGGTTAGGAGTATTAAATGTATTTTCAACTTGAGTATTTTCAACTTATGATGGGTTTAGCAAGACATAACCCCTTTGTAGGTTGAGGAAGATCTGTACATTAGCTATCAGTAGCTAAAGATATTGGAAAATACATAGTATCTATAAGGGATTTCTCAAAGAATTCAATGAAAATTTACATAGGCACATTAGTGATTTGTGATAGATCTCAGAGACAAGTAAAAAACTCTTCTTGCCTCATCAGCAGGAAGCCTGTTTCAAACTTTCAAGATCAACAGATCTGAATTACTGATGCTAAAAGTATTGTTAATTTCAAATTGTTTGGGGACAGCAGAGTATACTTTAATAATAAAAGAAAAGCAATAAAATTCCTTGGCAAACTTCTTGCTCTTATTTTTTCAGTACTTCTGTAACTGAAGCACATGGTCAGTGATAATATTTTTCAAAAAACTCAAATTTTACAAAATTGCTCCCTTAACATTCCTACATTTCCTTTTCTGTATCTCAGAGGGTTTTTATTCTCTCCTTCAAGTCCTTGCATATTATGACATGTCTGTCATGTGAGGAAAAAGACTCTCAAGATTGTTATCTCAACTTTCTAAATCTCCTCTCACCCTGGGCAGCTCAGTTATGTTAGCTAGATGTGCATTGATCTCAACCTTGAGGAAGATTGCACAACATCCTGCAGGCACTTTCTTACTGAATAACTTGTATTCTGAAATAGAAGAAACAGGGCTTACATATCGATTTGTGTTTCTTTGTCTGATACTATCTTCCAGTCCTTCAGTACATTTGAGCTGTTTTCAAAACCTCAAGTTACTTCTAGACAACACTCAAAGTGTAGGCTTTAGGTTACTGCTGGATTATGAAACTTCTGCGAAGGAGGAACGCTAACGTACCGGCAGGACCAAATAGGAACGAAGATCTCACATAAAATTAACAGGAGAGAATTTTAAAAACGTGTCTGTAAAAATGCCTTGAAACAGAAACTTAATTGTGGTGGATTCTTCTAAGGTCCGTGAGAAAAAAAGGACCGGGGAGAAACAGGGTAAGGAGTAGCGTCAGTGCAAAGGGCACAAATCACACTATTGCAGAGATAAAGGAACCCTGGCTCCCATCCGATGGCTGAATGAAAGCCCTCTGCGCGTCCCGTAGCACGGTCGCCCTGTCTTTCCCTATTTTAGAAGACAGTCACCTCCCTCCCGCCGCTTTCTCCCAGTGCCCCCTGTTCAGGAACGCTATCACATACCTCCGAGGACTGTGCCCAGGAAGATGCATTTCTTTTTGTGACGTTTCAAAAAATTCCACATAGATCTCAGCATCTTCAGGGCCTCAGGGTGTAGGCTGCAGGCTGCGTAGGGGTGGGGGTAGTTCACTAGAAAACCGTTTCTTGGTCACTTGGTCTGGACAATCCGGCAGGACTGCCGTTGACCCCTCCGTGCTTTCCAGAAATCACTAATGCGACTTTCCGCAGAGACTGTCACCGGAGCGGGAAGGGGGCGTGGACTACCCTAGAGCAGCTGCGCTTTCTGCTGCTGCCTGCGCGCTGCCGTCCCCGCTCACTGGTCCGGGTACCCAGGTCCGTCCAGAATTTGCTCTCGAGTGCCTCAGTGTTCGACTCCTCCGGAAACGGCGACCCGCAGCCGGCGCGTTCCGCTGGCGGCGCTCCTCCGCCGCGGCGTCTGGCGCTGGGCACCGCGTTCCCGGGACGGTATGGAGGCCAAGGCGGGATACCTGCCGGCTGCCGGCGGCGAGTGTTCGGTGTCTGCAGAGGAGACCGAAAAATGGATGGAGGAGGCAATGCAAATGGTGAGGAGCCGCGGGTAGGAACTATCTCCGGCCCTCGTCCGGACCGAGCGTGTGAGCACATGTCCCGTGAGCGTCTTCTCGTCACCATAATCTCGCCGGCGCTCTCGTTCTCCGGCTAAACAGCTGGCTGCACTGTCATGAAATTTTCTTTAACTCGTTCTCACATAGCTTTGGGAGAAGGAAGACCACAAATATAGAAATCATTTCTCTTTCAGCAGCATGAAATAATGCGCCAAACTTACCCCAGTTCAGCTGCGGTTGGCACGTACGTGCTGCGCCCCCCGTAACTGTGGACATACTCGAAAATCCGCGAAGTCACCTTGTTTTGTATTTTTGACCCCTTGAATATATCCAGTAAAAGGAAGGAAGCCGAGGATGTTACTGGTAGAGAGTAAGTAAAAACAAGTCCGGGTACTGTTCGTTCATTCGTCCGTCCTACTCTTCTCTTTTTATTTCCTTCGCTTGCTCTCTTCAGGACTGCTGATGAAGGAGGTCTCTAATCATATCTGTATATAACCCAAGCTTTACCTATACTTAAATGGGCCATCGAGGTCTTCAATAGGGATAAAAGTGTTTGACATATATGTGTATATGTATATAAAGATATGCACACCCATATTACATATATGAAATGACTTTTAGTTTTACGTAGCTCTAAAGCTGTAAAATATTTTTTAAGCTTTTTTAAAAAATAGTCTCCCTATTCTCAGTGGCCTCTATTCTCCTATAGTTAATTCCATAGTTGGTATTCATTCACTTTTTTTAGGAAAAAGGTGAAGGGGGGAAGGATGGGGAGAGAAAGGGAGAAAGTTGCACATTTTCTAGGATAAATTGACTGTATATTGTAGTAATGCATTTTCTGGGCATCTAGTATTAGTATAATATTGTGTTAAGCTTGAAGGAAATTAAAAAAGAAATCAAGTCCAGACACAACCATTCCAGGAAATGCAACTCTGATTGTTGCTTATGTATTAGGTCTTCTGCTGGGTGCTAGGGTTGCAGAGGTGAGTAGGACAGGCTTGCTAGTGCCTGGATCCAGTGCTTGCCTCCCAGAAGCACACTGTTTAATTGATGAAATTAAGCCATGCCCAAATGAAGAAGTTAGTTAAGTTACGTGTCCAGGGTACAAAGTAAGAGACAGATATAAAGTGCAATCAGATTAACAGGTAACAAAATCCTGAGCAAGTCAGTTGAGGTAAGTTAGAGGATGCTTTCTGAATTTTAAAAGGACAAAAGGGATGAGGGTTGGTGTAAAAGACAGGAAACACTGATCAAACAGAGGTACTGCCAAGTGTAAAGAAATGAAGGACTTTGCCTTGGGTTAGGAGGTGATCCACCTATCTGTTTGGAACAGGCCTTCTAACCTGGGGCCCAGGATTTAGGGGGATCTGTAAATCCTGTAACTATATGTAAAAATACTATGTGCATATGCCTTTTTCACATGAGACAGTCCATAACTTTCATCAGATTCTCAGAGGGGATTTTAACCTTTTCAAAGGTTAAGAGTCAAGAACATAGGAGAATAAGGAAAAGTCAGGCTGGCTCAGTTGGCTGGTGGGGAAGGTGGGTGGAAGTTGGCAGGCTCTCAGTACCTTGTTGAGGAATTTAAAGTTGATAGCAGGAAAGCAGAGCTTCTAAGAGTCACTAGCAATACAGCTGTGTAGTTTAACATTTTGGATGTTATTATGTTTTGACCAAGAATTGTTCTGGCTACACTGTCTTTCCCCTAATTTTTTCTTTTGTAGGAAATATATCTGGAGACTCATCAAGAGTCTGTGCAAGCTGAGGCCAGTCCCGCAGCCCCAGGTTTTACCACCACATCACTAGAAAGTAGTTTGTAGCAGTGATGGCTTTAGAGATGCTACAGTCTCTGCCCTCATAGACCAGTCGTTATCCACACCTGGGCAGGTCTTGACGAGAGCAAAAGATGACTCTGGAAAGCAAAGTGGAGACCAGTGTTTGGGCTAGGAGAAGAGATACTTCATTCTTCAGTTTTGAAAGTTGGTAATTTGTCAAGTTATGGAAGAGCAACCTGCCATTTTAAATAGTAACTAAGCCTTGGCCTCTCCCAACAGAGACAAGCTAGTTAAATTCAAACTGACCCTCACAAATTTCAGACCCATTTTGCCTGAATTTTTTTGCATTTGTAAAGTAATGATCAGACTTGAGAGAAGAGTTGGTGGGAGAGTTGGAAGGTATAAGATGAGACAGATTGAAAATTATTTTCAGCTTAATTAAATCTATTTTGAATTTGTCAGTAAAGCAAATGCATACCTTATTGAAAGCAATTCACCTAAACTCACTTCAGTGGGATTTGGGGTGGTCCTATCACACCCTCCCTAACCCAGTGTCCCAATTGCTTACCCACTCACACTCAGCATGGCAGGCTAGGCAAGTCCTCATCAAGATTGTTCTTTGCCCTTTTAAAATAAACCCATCACTTGTATTTTTCTCTCTACATTGGACAGCAGTTAAAGGCTTTCACAAAAAGCAAGTTACTCTGAGTAAGTAAGAAGATAATATTGAGAGGCAGAAAATACAGTAAAAGGAGGTAAATTTGCCTGAAGAAAAAAGAAAATCCAAAGGAAAGAGGAGGGGCCTGAGCGCAGGAGAGGCCTGAGGGGAGAGAGCTGCGGGGCCTCTGAGCTGTTCTGCAGGAAGGCCCACCTATCTTCCAGGGGAACAAGTCAGGACTTGGAACCCCATTTGGCAACATGGGTCTTGCTTTCCCCTGCCACCTACTCCCTTTCCACTTGGTCTTGGCTTCTCCTCTACAGGTTTGAAACAGCCACCTAGCCATATATAGAATCCTTCAGGAGATAGTTTTACAGAAGATCCTCTGCATTTGTTTATTCTCTTGCAGTTTTTTTATCCTGAACCTTTCTATGTCTTACTCTCTTGCTAAGTGTTCCCTCTCCTTTTATCCCTTCAACTAGGCTTACTTCAAACCCAAATAGCAATAAAGTAGCTAATCAGTGGTGACTAGAGTAGAGATTAGAGGCAGAGTGGCCAGGAACCTGCTACCTGGCAGGTGCTGCATAAATATTTGTTGAACAAATGAACGAACAGAACCAGATTGCCTGGGTTCTAGTCCCAGCCTCTCACATAGGCAAATTCCATGACCTCCCCATTTCTGTTTCCTCATCTGTAAAATGGGAAAGATCATTGAACCTATTTCGGAAGATTGTTAACTAAATGAATTAACACTTATTAAGGGCTTAAAAGAGTCCTGGGTCAAAGTACATTTTTAAATGAGTTGTAAGCTCTTATTATTTGCAAGCTCAATATCAGAACACTTGAGGTGTAGTTCTAACAGTCTGCTGTAAAAGTTGGAAGCTAGAAGTTTAACCTATAGATGAGTCACTCTTCAAGCCACTGGTTTTCATTTCCACCATTTTTCTGGGGTGTTCCGTAACACCAGGCACCCCTGGTTTTCTTCCTACCTCACAAGGTTATCACTTCTTACTCTCCACTGCTAGATACTCCACCTTTATTTATGTATTATGACTTTTCATTTTGAAATAATTATAGATTCACAGAAAGTTTCAGAAAGCATACAGGGAAGGCCCATTCACCCAGTTTCCTCCAATGATAACATCTTACATAACTATAGTACAGTATCAAAACCAGGAAAATGACATTCATGTGATTTGCATAGCTTATCCAGATTGCTTCAGCTTCATAGGCACTTGTGTGCATATGTAGTTCTATGCAGTTTTATCAAATGTTAAGTTTTAACTACCAGAGTAGTTCTATCACCACAAGGCCCCCTCATGCTACCCCTTCATAGCCACCATACCTTCCCAAACCCTAAACTCTGGCGAGCACTAATCTGTTCATCAAGTCTATGATTCTGTCATTCAGGAATATTATGTACATGAATATATAACCATTTGGGTTTTTTTTTTTAACCTTTTCAAAGGTTAAGAGTCAAGAACATAGGAGAATAAGGAAAAGTCAGGCTGGCTCAGTTGGCTGGTGGGGAAGGTGGGTGGAAGTTGGCAGGCTCTCAGTACCTTGTTGAGGAATTTAAAGTTGATAGCAGGAAAGCAGAGCTTCTAAGAGTCACTAGCAATACAGCTGTGTAGTTTAACATTTTGGATGTTGTTATGTTTTGACCAAGAATTGTTCTGGCTACACTGTCTTTCCCCTAATTTTTTCTTTTGTAGGAAATATATCTGGAGACTCATCAAGAGTCTGTGCAAGCTGAGGCCAGTCCCGCAGCCCCAGGTTTTACCACCACATCACTAGAAAGTAGTTTGTAGCAGTGATGGCTTTAGAGATGCTACAGTCTCTGCCCTCATAGACCAGTCGTTATCCACACCTGGGCAGGTCTTGACGAGAGCAAAAGATGACTCTGGAAAGCAAAGTGGAGACCAGTGTTTGGGCTAGGAGAAGAGATACTTCATTCTTCAGTTTTGAAAGTTGGTAATTTGTCAAGTTATGGAAGAGCAACCTGCCATTTTAAATAGTAACTAAGCCTTGGCCTCTCCCAACAGAGACAAGCTAGTTAAATTCAAACTGACCCTCACAAATTTCAGACCCATTTTGCCTGAATTTTTTTGCATTTGTAAAGTAATGATCAGACTTGAGAGAAGAGTTGGTGGGAGAGTTGGAAGGTATAAGATGAGACAGATTGAAAATTATTTTCAGCTTAATTAAATCTATTTTGAATTTGTCAGTAAAGCAAATGCATACCTTATTGAAAGCAATTCACCTAAACTCACTTCAGTGGGATTTGGGGTGGTCCTATCACACCCTCCCTAACCCAGTGTCCCAATTGCTTACCCACTCACACTCAGCATGGCAGGCTAGGCAAGTCCTCATCAAGATTGTTCTTTGCCCTTTTAAAATAAACCCATCACTTGTATTTTTCTCTCTACATTGGACAGCAGTTAAAGGCTTTCACAAAAAGCAAGTTACTCTGAGTAAGTAAGAAGATAATATTGAGAGGCAGAAAATACAGTAAAAGGAGGTAAATTTGCCTGAAGAAAAAAGAAAATCCAAAGGAAAGAGGAGAGGCCTGAGCGCAGAAGAGGCCTGAGGGGAGAGAGCTGTGGGGCCTCTGAGCTGTTCTGCAGGAAGGCCCACCTATCTTCCAGGGGAACAAGTCAGGACTTGGAACCCCATTTGGCAACATGGGTCTTGCTTTCCCCTACCACCTACTCCCTTTCCACTTGGTCTTGGCTTCTCCTCTACAGGTTTGAAACAGCCACCTAGCCATATATAGAATCCTTCAGGAGATAGTTTTACAGAAGATCCTCTGCATTTGTTTATTCTCTTGCAGTTTTTTTATCCTGAACCTTTCTATGTCTTACTCTCTTGCTAAGTGTTCCCTCTCCTTTTATCCCTTCAACTAGGCTTACTTCAAACCCAAATAGCAATAAAGTAGCTAATCAGTGGTGACTAGAGTAGAGATTAGAGGCAGAGTGGCCAGGAACCTGCTACCTGGCAGGTGCTGCATAAATATTTGTTGAACAAATGAACGAACAGAACCAGATTGCCTGGGTTCTAGTCCCAGCCTCTCACATAGGCAAATTCCATGACCTCCCCATTTCTGTTTCCTCATCTGTAAAATGGGAAAGATCATTGAACCTATTTCGGAAGATTGTTAACTAAATGAATTAACACTTATTAAGGGCTTAAAAGAGTCCTGGGTCAAAGTACATTTTTAAATGAGTTGTAAGCTCTTATTATTTGCAAGCTCAATATCAGAACACTTGAGGTGTAGTTCTAACAGTCTGCTGTAAAAGTTGGAAGCTAGAAGTTTAACCTATAGATGAGTCACTCTTCAAGCCACTGGTTTTCATTTCCACCATTTTTCTGGGGTCTTCCGTAACACCAGGCACCCCTGGTTTTCTTCCTACCTCACAACGTTATCACTTCTTACTCTCCACTGCTAGATACTCCACCTTTATTTATGTATTATGACTTTTCATTTTGAAATAATTATAGATTCACAGAAAGTTTCAGAAAGCATACAGGGAAGGCCCATTCACCCAGTTTCCTCCAATGATAACATCTTACATAACTATAGTACAGTATCAAAACCAGGAAAATGACATTCATGTGATTTGCATAGCTTATCCAGATTGCTTCAGCTTCATAGGCACTTGTGTGCATATGTAGTTCTATGCAGTTTTATCAAATGTTAAGTTTTAACCACCAGAGTAGTTCTATCACCACAAGGCCCCCTCATGCTACCCCTTCATAGCCACCATACCTTCCCAAACCCTAAACTCTGGCGAGCACTAATCTGTTCATCAAGTCTATGATTCTGTCATTCAGGAATATTATGTACATGAATATATAACCATTTGGGTTTTTTTTTTAATTCAGCATAATTTCCTAGAGGTGTATCCAAGTTGTTGAGTGAATCAGTAGTTCCTTCCTTTTCACTGATACCTAGTAGTCCATGGCACACATGTGCCATAGTTTATTTAACCATTCACCTTTTGAAGGATGTTTGAATCTTTTCAATTACTACAAACTTGGTGGCCAAAAACAATGCAAGTTTATTCCCTTACAGTTCCTGGAGGCCGAGAGTCTGAAATTGGTCTCTTTGGGCCAAAACCAGTGTGTCAGCAGGAACACGCACCCCCTGGAGACTTGGCGGAGACTGTCTCCTTGCCTTTGCTTCTACAGCAGCATTTCTTGCTTTGCTCGTGGCCCCCTCCTCCATCTGCAAAGCCAACAGTGTAACATCTTGAGATCTCTCTCTCTGCCTCTCTCGCCTAAGGACATTTGTGGTTGCATTTAGGGCCACCTGAATAATCTAGGGTAATTTCCTGGTCTCAGGATCTTCCACAGATGTTTGTTGGATGAACAAATGACTCATTTCTCATACGTACCTAGGACTATGTGTACTCCTAACCTTATTGTAAATAACATTCTTTGTGTGATGATTGCCGTAACTCCCTGGCATATAGTATCTCCATCCTCCTTAGCTGTCAGGCCTCCTCCTGGCTTTCCTTTCTGAGGTAGCCTATGATGTGTTCATATACTTATTAGTATATAGTCACCAAGTCTTGGGACTCTTCAGACTTCTGAATTTTGCATAAAGTGGGCATACTTTAACTGTTATTACGGAACTGGACAGACCTAGCCTGTGGGTGGCTCATGACACAGTTCTGAAGAATGCAGTCTTATTGCTTCTGATGCTGTCTCCTTATATCCTTCTACTGCCAGGTCCGTCCCACCACCCTGGAGCAGGGGTGAGAGGCAGAGTTTGCTGCTACTGTCTGCCTGTCCTTCCACCAGGTTTGGTCAAATGAAAATTTAGGTGCCAGTTGAACATGGCTATAGTAGCTAAGGAACCAACCCATGGGAGCATTACGGTAGGAAGTTAAGGCTTCTATAAATAAGGTGTAATGCGAAATAAAGAGGCTAGTGCAGGAGATAGAACACAACTGTTTTCAGCAATGTCTTCAACTTTGCACTACGTATGCCCTATGGTATGTGTAAATACCTACACTTCACTGGGAATCTAGTTTTCCAAAATGCCAAAATAAGAAATGCTATGCCTTTCTAGAAACAGCTGTCCTTGGTTCTTTTGATTGCAGTGAGATGGAATTGATTGCAAGCGCCCTTCCTTTATTCCCTCAGTGGAAGCATCAAGGCATACCCAGCATTACCTGCCTGCTTCTGCTCTCGGCCTGAACAAGTATTCTTTAACTGTCCTGGGTCCCAGACTGCTGTGGTTCACTCAGCAGTAGTGCTAGAAGAAAAAAAGACAGCCTGTGATAGAGGGGAGACTCTGTGAATATAATAATTGGTTTGCTGTTTCTGTAATGGTGGTTTTTGCCATTTCTCGAACCCTAATATTTTTTAATTGAGCTCAACTTCACATAGAGTAAAATGCTGAGATCTTAAATGTGTTCTTTGTTCAGTTTTGAATTATGTAAACATCTGTGCACCCAAATCCTTTTCAAGATAGAGAAAATTTTAGCCACTCAGAAAAATTCCTTCTGGCCCTTTCTGATCAGTCTGTGCATCCCCTTCCATGAAGCAATCACTGTTCTAATTTCTATCACTGGTTTCATTTTTCGTATTCTAGCACTTCACATGAAGGGAATTATGTGGAATGTATGCTTTTGTGTTGACTTTCTACACAGTGTGTCTGAGATTTACCCACATTGTTGTGTGTATCAGTAGTTTCTTTTATTGCTGCATAGTATTCCATTGTGTTCCTCTGCCACAGTTTATTTACCCATTCTTTGGTGGATGGAAAGTTGTGCTGTTTCCAGATTTTGGCTATTATGAATCAAGCTATTATGAACATTCTTTTACAAATTTTTTTTGTGTGTGTGTGTGGACATATTTTTTCTTCTATTAAATACTTAGGAGTAGATTTTGTTCATAGGCTATAGGTGTTTACTTTTTAAAGGAGCTTTGAAAGTGTTCTCCACAGTGGGTGTGCTTTCTTCACATAGAGAGTTCTTAAGCTTTCCTTGTCTCACTTAGAGCAGAAACTGTGGTCCAGGGAGACATCCAGTCTGGTCACCTTTCATGCTATTGGAGCTCTAGGGGATAATTTTTGTAAGTTGTAGAGAAACAAAAAATAATTAAGCAACTACAATTTCAACAGGGAAAAAAATTCAATGAAGTATTTATACATGTTGTTTATTCTTTTACCTCTTTGCAAATATGTATACAATCTCTGAAAAGTTACACAAGCCCCTGGTGACTTAAGAACATCAATAGCCATCTTTTGCTCGTATCTGTTTCTAATGAGAAGAAAGAGCTGGGGGTGAGGGTCAGGACCTATGAAATGGATTTGTAGCTGAGTCCCTTGATATGGACACAACAGAGAACACAGGCACTTAGTGTGAGAAACTATATTTGTGAAAAGGGAAAGCTGAGCTGCATCTCTTTGTTCTAGTGTTTACTTGTGTATATGCTCTTCCTGGTGCATCTTTTTCTTTCCTATTGTCTTTTAAATTTTGAACATTATATCTCAGATTTTTCCATTTTTGTCTTTCAGGCCAAACAAGCCCTGGAAAATATTGAAGTTCCTGTTGGCTGCCTTATGGTCTACAACAATGAAGTTGTGGGGAAGGGAAGAAATGAAGTTAATCAAACCAAAAATGTGTGTGAGTTGATTAGTATAATTGCAAACATACAATAGTGATGTTAGGAGTGCAGTGAACTTAACCACAGTGGGCAGGAAGATGGATCTGTGTGCAGCTCCGCAGGTGTCAGTGGAAGGGTAGTTTTCCTTAACGTCTCTTTTTTTGAACACCTCTTTTTTTCTGATTTTAAAAGTGAGACATGTTGATTTTTTTAAACTTGGAAAATTCATAAAATTTAATGAAGCCATAAAATCTTCAGGGCTAATTTTCTATTTATGGAGTTTTACTAACTTGTCTGAAACCCAAGAGGGGATTTTATTATATTGGAGTGTCAGTATGGAAGAAAATGAGTCTGTCTCCATGTTAAGCAAATCTGATATTTGAAAATTCTACTTTACAGAATGTATCAATTTAACTCATGTCACATTCTTTAGTACTTTTAAATAATATGTTCCTCTTAGTGAATTAAATAAAATCACCCTCAATTTACAACTTTGTAGGTATAAAAGTATTGTGTAAAGGAAACTATCCCTGTATCAGATAATTCAAAGGAATAAAGTCTCTACCACCTGCTGTCTCTGTACTTAAGTGTGTTATTACACTTTAAGAACTTGTGTGGTTTGTAATTTCTTGTGGTTAGGTTGAGAAGTTCATGAATTAAGGCAGCACTTCTTGAACATGATATTAGAACAGTCTGTCACAGTAAGTATAAGGGAAGTATTAAGTTTTATGATTGTGAGAAGTACTGGGTATAGTCAAGGATAGCTTATAGCCATAATGCCACTCACACAGACTTAGATCTTATCAGATGATCTTAGGAGCCAGAGAACAAACTGGTGTTAGTAATCATGCTATTGGGAATTTAAAGTTCATCCATCACATCTATCCAAAAGAAAACAGATTTAGCAAAACACATGCAGAGTAGAAACCCAGATTCACAAAGCAATTATGTGGCTATCAAAATATCTGTGAGATAAGTAATAAACATAATACAGCAATTAGTGAATATACAGATACTTATTTGGGTGTGGAACTCTGTATTTTAAATAATTGTTATATCTCCTTATTTGTGTTTTATGTTTTGGTACGATATCTTTAAAGAGAGCTTCAGATGTCCTAATGATGTCCACCTAACTCCACAGTGACCTGGGTTTCTTCTATACCTTGAATTAATGTGAATTTATTTTGATATTCTGTGTCCTACAGAAGGTTAATGTGTAAACACAGTACAGAAAACTCTTGACATAAATGAGGAGACCTGAGTCCTACCTCTGGCTCTGCCACTACCACCCCCGGCCCCCATCACTACCAGCATCACCTCTCCCAGTTGTGTGTCTTTAATATATCCTACCTTACCTTAGCTTCTGGTTCTTCAGCAATAAAAGAGAGAGTTGATTGAGATGATTCAATCCAACAGTTATTTATTGAGAACTATGAGAGATTTGATTCAGTAATTTTGAATCTGATTTTTAAGAAGCACCCAAATTGGTGAAACTTTTTTTTTTTTAAGCTGCTCAGTTGCTTCTGTTATGCAGCCAGGCTTGGGAACCTCTTCTGTAAATAAGTACCTTTCAGCTCTGAGTTTATAATTCTGGGCCAGCATTGTTCCCATCTGCCTTTGGCTTCCATGGCACCATGAACCACTGTGCCAGCATTTTTCACATCCTGTCACAGATAGTGAACACCTTTTGTTTGCCCCACCAAGTGTTATGCTTTTTGAGGACAGAGACTTTTCATCTCACCTAGAATTTAGCACAGTGGCTTCTAATAGCCACTATGTATCAACTTATATACTGAGTATCAGTTGGTGTAAGTTTGTTGATAAATGCCACTGTGAATACTAACAGTGATCTCATAGAACAGTGTGTGTGTGTATGTGTGTGTGTGTGTGTGTGTGTGTAAGTAGCATTAGGTGGCTTGTACATCACCTAATTCAGATTGCTTTATGAGGTATAGAAGTCAGTGTACCTCATACCCCATTTTACATATGGGGAAACCAAGTCTTACAAAAGTTATGTATTTTGCCCAAGGCCATGTCATTAGTAATGTCATGGTTGGTATTCAAATTTAAGTGTGGCTGATTCCAAATGCTGTGTGATTTCTTCCATACTCTGCTATCTCCTATGAGGTATCTGAGACTGAGAGCAAATCTTTTTTTTCTCCTATAAAATCTCATCCCAAAGAAAAATCTGATGACATTTCAGTAAACTAAATATTCATTTGCTTTGAGGTGAGAGCCTTGAAAACATCTGAAACTGGAGTACTTGCTTGTGAAAATTTGAAGCTTCCCCTGAAATATTCAGAAACCCTAGACTCATTTTTTTCTCTCTCTTTTTTGAGACTCACCTTTTCTATGGCATTTTAATTGAAACGTTTTAGGCTAAACTAAGACCATAATTTGTATGGCACCTCAGATCAGGTATCTCTTGTTGGAGTTCTAGTACTTGACCTGGGGAATACATGTCAACTGCTGAAGGTGTCCTGAAACCTTAATTTGTTAAAATGTTGGTGGAAACATTAGGCCCACTTTTTGTATTTATTTTTAAGAGTTTGTAAAATACAGTTATGTGTAGTGAGCATTGTCACTGCAGGCACCGCTCTCTTTTCAGGCTACAAGACATGCGGAAATGGTGGCCATTGACCAGGCCCTTGATTGGTGTCATCGAAGTGGCAAGAGTCCTTCCGAAGTATTTGAGCGCACTGTGTTGTATGTCACCGTGGAGCCCTGTATTATGTGTGCAGCTGCTCTCCGCCTGATGAGTATCCTTTGACTTCATGGGTTAATAAAGTCTTTCACCCTACCTAGGAACTCGAAAATGGCCCAACATGTACCCTGTTTTCTAATATATGAAAACAGAGATATATGAAACATTATTGTAGATGGTAGACATTATAAGATATAGTATCCGTTGGCCAAAAAAGTTTTAAGAAAGCTTTTTAGATAATAAAATTACCTTTCCTTTTGTATCAATAACAAATAAGCATAAGAAAGCAAGCTTAGGACTAACTTTATTATGTAAAGATAAATCATAAATTACATTAAAGTAGATTATAAAACAGGGAAGTCTGAACACTTAAAAGTCTTAAATTTTGCCTTTGGATAATAGATTATAAGTGATTAAAATTTTTTATTTCTCTATTTATAATGTTTTTGTTTATTTTTGCCATGATACCTATTACATTAAATGAAAAATTTATGTTAGAAATAAATACCAAGTAAAAAACAAACAAATCACTTATGATATTATAATTATAAATAAGTGGGAAATTAATAAAGTTACAACTCTTTGAATTGTATCTTTTATAGAGTAAGTGATATAAATACTGGATATAGCAAATTAGTCTCTGAAGATCTTTTACAAAAATTATTGATAATTCAAAAACTCAGTTTCATACTTGCATATATTTTATGTACTGATTTTGCTGCATTTGTGTGAATAATTTTATCAGTTTAAAAATAATGCAGAGGTTTTGACTATGATATGAACAATCTCTGTAAAGAGAGGGGTTATGGCCGACTTAGAATTTTCTCACCATCTTGCCTTACAGAGTGGCTGAGCATTAGTCTGTTTTGTATTAGGGCACAGGTTGTGCTTTATTTGGGGAAAAATCTGATATTTTTAAAAGGTAAAAAATCACTGGATTAAACTCCAGCATCATTTCTGGCTCTAATTCTCTAATTAGAGTTTGTAAAATACAGTTATATGTATTACAAAAAGTGATTTAGTGATTTAGGAAAGACCAGAAAGAACACCAAATAGTGAACAGTCAGCATTTACTTAATTCAGTTTTCATTCTATTTGCAGTGGTGAGGTACTAATTTCTATATACATTGAACTACTTTCTTTTTTTTGTAACTGGATTGTGTGATTTTTAAAACTAAACCTCAACTTCATGTTTCAAAAGTAGCACGAGCTTTTCTCTCCAGGATGATGGCTGGTATAAACGTACCCTGATTTTGTCATGATACCCCCTTGAACTACACATTCTCTGCATGACCTTAATTCTTTTTTATAAATCCCGCTGGTTGTATATGGCTGTCAGAATGAACGATTTGGTGGTTGTGGCTCTGTTCTAAATATTGCCTCTGCTGATTTACCAAATACTGGGAGACCATTTCAGGTAATATGACTTGCTTGAGCTTTTTCTTTCCTTCTAGTTGCTTTGATCTCATTATGGGCTTGGGAATAGTAGGTATGTGGTCAGTAGGCCAAAAAGCCGTGCTAGACCCGAACAGGCTCTTGGGACCTCTGGTCAAGGTCATTTTTAGCCTCACTATGAGACCGCAGGTAATCATTTCTAGGTGAGTGCTTAGCTCTCTTAACAGAATCTCTTCTGAAGGAGAGTTCCCAAGCCTTTGGAGGTATCTCCTGACAGTCTTCACCAACACCTTCAGGGGTGTTTGAAGACACTCCCACTGTTGGTGTTCTCACTCAGTGAGTGTTCCTAGCTCCATACCAAGTTTGTATAAAGGTTGGCCTCCCTCACTGCTTTGTACAGTGGATGCTATTGACAGTGAACACACAATATTTTTGTACAAACTCGGTCATTTTGCTTGATTGCCTCACACTATTTTTAGTGTCTAAGAATCAATACCTGTATTTTCATTATATTTTTTCCTTCCTTTTTAATATGGAAATTTCTCCCAGACTCAAGAATCCATATTTCTTTTATCTTTTCTTAGAAGTTCTACATATCCTTTAAACTACCCAAATCTCTCAAAGTTTTTATGTTTAAGGCTATGAGCAGTAGGAAGTTATATTTCAGAGTTTGGCCTGTGGACACATACCAATTTTCATAAACCGGTTTGATTGTTTTTCTCTCCAAGATATAAGGTTAATTCTAAAGTATTATGCCTTAAAAAGAAAAGCATTTAACAAATGCTGGACATGGTGGGCAGTTAACTTCAAAGACCTCAGATATTTTTAGGAGAATATTAAATATCTGAAGGGCAAAATTTGGCTAAATATCACTGACAACAAGTTTTGAAAAACACTCTATTTTTAGTTTTCCAGCTGAACATTAGCTTAACCAACAAATCCTATACTCAGAATAGATGACTTTTAACATTGTATCCCAGAAGAAATTGTTATAGAATGGTGGAGAGTAAACAATACAATTAGCTTGATCATTTAAAAAAAATCTGCAAAGAGATTTGATTTTTCCCAATCACTTCTCTTAGTAGCTCAGATTTTGCTTACATAACTCTTTGCAAGTGAATTGCTGACTCTATACTTCATGTATGAGAAAGATGTAAAGAATTTCTCAAAGCTTCTAGACAGAACAAAGATGAGCCCTTGGATTTCAGACAGGGGTAGAGCATTTCTCTCCAGCACAGCAGTGATATCGAGTGTATGCATACAGTTTTCTCCTACATGTCTCTGCACAGAGTTGATTTGGCTGAACCAAACAATACATTTGTTTGTAGTGTGTATACCTGGCTGAATTGGCTCCACTGAAATGAATGACCATTGTTTGAAGCCATATTTCCAGTTTTGATGCCAAATTCTGTGCTGTTTCTTTTTTTTTAAGTGTTTTGAGATTCTAAAGAAAACACTGGTATCCCAGGCTTCTGGTTGCTGTGTTTTCTTCCTCTATTTGGCTGGGCTGGGTGGAAGGGGGCATGAGGGAGTCTGTGAGAGGTGGGATGCTGTTTTTTTATTGCAGAATTGTAGATTCTTTTCATATTGTATTACAGGCAGCATTAAAGTTCTTAGAGAACACCTACAGAATGATTCTTTTTGAAGAGGTGGTGATTAGTTTATAATATGTTGCTGCCCTGTTTTTAAAAATTTATTTTAATAAGAACTTGTGATTTCTATTAAAGCCACAGATCTGTAGCTGTAGTAGGATATTTGGAAATATTAGTGTCTTAGAGAGTTGCAATTTCCCTCACCTGTGACCCAGTGGGGCTCATCCCTAACTGCATATTAAAAATCATCTGTAGAATTTGAAGCATGCCCATGCCTGCCCCCCTTGCCCAGTCCTGCTCAGTAAGAAGGTGGGAGTGGGAGGGGGGCACTGTATTAGAATCAGTAGCCTTTTGGAGAGTCCTCAGCGGTCCCGCTGAGCAGCCAAGGCTCAGGACCTCTGCTCTGACTCTGCAGGACTGGAGGGTGCTTCGTGCATGTGGGTGCTCATGAGAGTGCATGAGGAGAGGCAGAAACCCAGGGGAGCCACCACCATGGCGGGAAGAGAAGGGGCTTGGTCCATGATGGTTAGGATGCACTGAGAAGGTCGGAAGTACTTGCGGGCCAAGGGAGGAGAGGGTTCAAAAAGGAAGCCCATACGGTTAGTAGTCTTCACGCCTACAGAAAACTGAAGAGCATGGAAAGGAACCAGGATTTTGGTCAGTAGGGGCCTGGGAGATCTGGGAGGGCGGCCTCAGGGGAGTCCAGGGAGCACAAGCCAGCCAGAATGAGGTCGAGGAGGAAATGAGAGCCACAAAAATGATGGCCAGGACTTTGGAATATTCTCAGGGAGAATGAGGGTAGCAGCATGCCTGAGGGGCAGCCCAGAAGGAAGGTTATTGTTTTTCTTTACCAGCTCTATTGAGATATAGTTGACATATAACATTGTGTAAGTTTAAGGTATACAATGTGATGATTTAATACACATATATTGTGTAACATTTGCAACAGTAAGGCTAGTTAACACATCCTTAACACCTCACATCATTACCATTTTGTTGTTGTTATTACGGTGAGAACATTTAAGCTCTACTCAGAGCAGCATTCAAGTGTACAGTGTAGTACTGTGAGCCTGTACTTGCCGTGCTGATCTTAGAGCCTGGAACCTATTCATCTTATAACTGAAAATTTGCGCCTTTTGATCAATGTCTACTTCCCCCACTCTCCCACCCCAGGCAGCTACCATTCTGCTGTCTGCTTATATAAAGAAAATATACACATACACTGACAATGGGATATTATTCTCTCTGTATCAATAAAGAAAATATGATATATACTGACAGAATATGTGTTTGTGTATATACACACTATGTATTTACACACACATACATACAATGGAATATTATTCAGCCATAAAAATGAAGGAAATTCTGCCAGTTGGGACAATACAGATGGATCTTGAGGGCATTATGCCAAATGAAGTTAAGTCAGAGAAAGACTTGCCTGTGTCATCTCACTTATATGTGAAATCAAAAACATAGAACTTGTAGAAGCTTATTTGTTTTGATGGGGGTGGTTTATACAGGCTTTGTAGGCCCAGGCAAGAGCTGACTGGAGGCACAGGGGAAAGGGAGGCTTCTTCTGAGCAGGGGACCAGCCTTTCCAGAGGAGAAGCTCGCTGGCTCCTACCTCTCCTGGGCACTGCTTCTGGCCATGCTTCCCTGGAATCTCCATTGTATCATTTCATGCACCTCAGAAAGATGCAGTATAGCAAGTCCAAACTCCTGGGACACACCTTCAATGCCCTATTTATTTTGATCTCATCTCCTTTTATCTCTTGAATCTCCTTCCATATTCTCCCTTAATAATCATCCCCTGGCCCTCTCAACAGGTTTCCTCACACAAAATCCATACTTACTTTTTCCTTGAAATGCTCTGCTCAGCAGTCTCTTTAAATATTTGCTATCTTTAAGGCAGGTTCAAGTTTCATCTCCACATAGTATTTCACACAACATCCCTCCTTGCCATTCTCACAATTTCTTGCTCTTCTCATGTGTTGATCTCATCTCTCTAAATACCAAAGGTAGAATGAGCTGAGCACTTTTAAAAGAACTGACAATGTATTTTTCTGTAAGGAGCCCGACAGTAAATTTTTAGCCTGTTGGATCTCCTTTTTTTTTACTTTTAACAACGCTTTGTAAGTGTGAGAGCTCATTCTTAGCTGCAGACTGCCAGCTCTAGCTCTGTCGCGTTAAACACTTAGTGGGCCACCAATAAATAACTGTTGATAAAAGTAACTAATGTTTAATGTCCCTGATGATGTGCCAGGTTTTCATAGGTATTATTTTATATAGTCTCATTTAATCCTTACAAAAAACTCTCTTGAGTACTATAATTACCTAATTTTACATATGAGGAAACTGAGGCAGAGAGATTTTAACTACCTTACCCAAGACCACATAGTTAGTAACTTCAGTAATAGTTGTTTGAGAGTTATGTTTGACTGAGGCTGTATGTCTATTCTGGAAATGAACTTCCTTACCCATGTTACATATATCTCCAAAGTGTATTAACATTATCTGAAATATGTTTACATAATTATATATTACTCTTTTTATGGGCTACAACACACATTTTCATAGGCCAATAGTCATTTTCAATTTCTCATTACATCAGTGTGTTCCTGGATTTCGGGCTGAGGAAGCAGTGGAAATGTTAAAGACCTTCTACAAACAAGAAAATCCAAATGGTCAGTTTCCTCTACTGTATAAAATGTACCCCACTTTAAACAGATCCGTGTGCAGAAAGCCTGACATGGGCCTATCTCTTCATTTTCTCTTACTCTTTTCTTTCCACAGCACCAAAATCAAAAGTTCGGAAAAAGGAATGTCAAAAATCTTGAATTTGTTCTGATGGAAGCCTAATGCCCCTGGATGAAATTTTTGGAGTGAAATCTGTTGATATTATTGAATTGTATGTTTATATATTATCCTTAACTCATGGGAAAATGGTTTCTCATCATTCGCTCTGTTAAGGGAACAAATTGGCACTTTTTAAAAGTCTGACAATTGTAAACAATGATTAGCTTTTTTAAAAGCTGAAAGAACATTTTAAGAAGAGGAAAATTAATGATTGACTTTTTAGACATTAGTAAACATGATGCTCTGCCTGCCAGCATCATTATGCCGAGTCCAGGGAAGTGCTGACTTTCAGAGAATGGCACGCAGACCCAGTTACCTGGTGTGTGTCTGGACTGGTGTGTGCCACACTGGGCACCTGCTCCAGGCCTAGCATTTTGGAATTGGATTCTTTCTATGCAGCCACTATGATCTCCCAGGGTGTTCTGGCCCATGATTTCCTTAGAATTTGTCTATGAGTTGTGTACATATAGACCATGATTATATGGTCCTTAGAAGAGATTTTTTTTTGTTTTTATAAAGCATTTAGAGAAAATGTATACTTTTCAAACAAGTGCTTAAGTGTCATTTTTATATAACAGCATGTTGCTGTAATAATTTGGCCTTATTTATGCTTTCTTTGAAGATGGATAGCCTTAAAAAGACAAAAGTTCACAGAGTCAGTGAACAGAACAAAGAATCCTACCCTCGTGGAACTTATATTCTAGCAGAGGGAGACAGATGATAAGCCTAATAGATTATACAGTCTGTGGAGGGCAATAAGGACAATGGCAACACAGACGAAGGGGGCAGGGTAGAGGGGATGGGTGTGCCATTTGGTGGTGGGAATGCTGGTGGCACAATCAAATAGATGGTTAGTTTAGTCTGAAATCAAATACAAATGATTTCTTTTTATAAAAATCCAAATCTAGAATTTAAAACTAAAATTGAAAAATGTGAATACAAGCCTGGGAAGGTTGTCCACAGCAGGAAGTCCCAGGTTTGCCTGCTTACTGACAGCAGTGAGGGTTGGCATGGATGCTGAGCCAGGCGGAGCGCACTGCCTGTGCCCAGAAGGGGGCCTCGCGGTTCCACCAGAAGCCGAGCTCCAGGTCCTGGAGGGCAGCTCCTGCTCAGTTGCGTTTCTCCCGTGGATTCATTTTCTTGATGCAAAGCATCTGTATTTGTTGGTTCTGTCATTTGAGCAATGTCTCTGACTTGTTTGTTTTAAATTACATTACAGGCTGGAATGTAATTGTGGTGAAAGTATTTTTATATTGCTGAGAGTAGCATCTAATCACAGTTACATGCTTCAGAGGATTTATAATTGCTTGGTTTTGTACATGTGTGTTTTTAACTGCATTCAGGAAGTTTTATGGAGAGGAATATGCATAATTTGAAATCTATAATAGTGTTCATTTAACTTCTCTCCAATTTCACCTACTTTTAAGTTAAAAGTTTAAAATGATCTTCCCATTAAATTGTAGTGGTTGGACTATTTTATTCCCTTGCAGTTGGTCATAATTAATTTCTGGCTCTTTGTGCTTTTTTGAAGTGGACTTCATTGCCCTTACTGTCCCCATATTGTTTTCTTGGGAATTATTTGTGACAAAAAACCTGGAATCTTTCCTCTGGAGGGTGCCACCCAGTAAGTCTGGCTAAGCATCTTATGCCAAGTAGATTCTTAGTAAACATTTGTTCAATAAAATTATTGATTGGACTTTTAGGGGAAAATGATTTATAAGGATATTATGTAGGGTAAAAAGCCAAAGCCAAAAATCGCATAGGAGTGTTTCAACCCAGAGATAGTCACTGCCAAAAGGATAAAAAAAACAAAACTATAAACAGAGGAATAGAAAAGACTTACCAATATACATATATTCTGTCTTCGATGTGTTTTGGAGAATGGGTATTTCCTAGTTCCTAAGTAGAGCTGAAGATTTAATTTTAGTTATGACTATAGAAAACTCTCCTAATTTTTGGCCTTAGGCACAGTTCCCTCCATTGCTTTGGGGTAAAAATCAGTTTATAAGGCATATTACAGATACACCTCCAATGCTGATAGAGGACCTTTAGACGTGAGGTCATAGACGTTAAGGCTGCGGGATTCTGACAGCAGTTTGAAAGTGGTGAAGAGTTGTGGATATATGATGAGGTTATCTGCTATCTGAGTACCACATTCTCTAGCTACGCAGACATGACTTAAAATACTTCGATGCTTCAGTTCAAAAGATTGAATCCAATTGATTGATACTGATAGTGCCTAAGAGATTAGCTGAGAGATTTGTGTATGAAATAATAATGAAAGTTGTGGGATGCAAAAAGGTTTTAGAATTGCAGCCCTGTTGAGAGAAATTCATGGGAAATGATTCCATCTAATTTGCTAACATATCCAATGGTCTTTGCAGTGGGCTCTGGTGAGAACGGGTGGTATGTAATGCTTTGGCAGCCTTCAATCACTGATAAAAGATGGTGTTAAAATATCTTTGCACTCTTGTTACTTGGCATAAACATCTCTTCCTGTGTTGTATTTGGAATGCTATGGAGAGAAAATAGATAGCCAAGAACTCTACTGTAGGCAAGAGCTGTTAATTTTTCTTTAACTATTTGGAAACAATTTGAAACTTACAGAAAAGTTGCAAAAATACCTTACTCTTTAAACCTATTGTTAACATTTTGTACCTTTACTTTATCATTTGTTGTCTTTTTATTCTCTTTCTCCCCCTCTTTTCTTTCTCTTTCTATATATTTATGTATGAATGAAAATAATTGTTTTGCTGAACCATTTGGTAGAAAGTTATATCTCATAGCCCATTTCCCTGAAATGTTTCAGTATTTCCTAAGTATAGGAGATTCTTATATATAATTACAATATAGTTACTGACTTAAGTAAATTTAACATGGATACAATACTTTAATGTACTGTTTATATTCCAGTTTTGTCAGTTGAGTCCATGATGTCCCTCAGAGGACCCCTCTCACTCCACATTATCAGATCTATTCTAGGGTGAGGTATTCATGTAGTTGTCATGTATCTTTAGCTTCTTTTAACTAGAGCATTTCTGTAGCCTGTCTTTATTTCTTATGACATTGACATTTAAAAAATCTTACAGTCCTTTTTCCCCCCACCAACTTTTTTTTTTTTAATATATATATATATATAGTGGTGTTTTCTCATGATTAGATTCAGGTTATGTACTTTAGATTATATCTCAACTTTTTTTTGTTTTAAATTTATATATGGTGGTGTTTTCTCATGATTAGATTCAGGTTATGTATTCTAGAAAATACTGTGTTCTCAGAGTATCAAAAGGCATCCAAAGGCCATCAGTCCCTCACTGGTGATGTTATTAATTCTGGTCACGTGAAAGTGTTACCTGATTTCTGCACTATGTAATCTATGTAATTATTGTTTTTTTCCCTCCCTTGCAACAGATAAGCAGTCTGGGAACAGAAACTGTTACATTTGTAAAAGAAAATGTACTTGACATTAATGAAAAGGAAGGAAAGAAAATGAATGATACGAATTTCAAAGCAACTGTTAAATTATTTGATTGCATTCTTCTTTTATGATGCCTGCTAAAATTTACAAAATTCTTTTCCTAATAATATTTTAAATAAGGAAGTCTTAATAAAAATTAAAGGAAGTCTGAGAAATAAGTTCTTTCCTGATGGCCTCAACATAACTAATAATTATATCAATTTAATGATAATGTGAAAAGGCAGAGTTTTGGAAAAATATGTCTAAGATGTTTCTGATACTGCAGATGTCTTTAGTGACCAAAGAGGTGTCTAACACTAGGTAGACAGTCATGTGGCCATAAAAAAGGTGTTCTCCTGGGTTTGCATAGAGACATCTAGACTTAAAATGCTTTAAGCACTGCTACTTTTTAAAAAGAAGTGTCAGTGAAAATAGAAAAGCCAAGGCTCTTTAAAAAAAATCATTAAATTTTTGTAAAGTAGTGAGGTTCCTTGTTAAAAATATATGTTGAAGCCAAAGCTTGTCCTTCCCCATCATTCTGCACCCACTGGCCTTGAATAGCCCTGGGAAGAAGAGGCGTTAAGGGCTGGTTTCCCTGCCTTTTGGCAAAGGAATGAGACTACATTGACTTCATCTCTGAAGAAAACTGCCAACTATTTTCTTACTCTCTAAATTGTTGATTGTGTGGTGAGGAGAGGGTGATGGGTGGCGTTATTTCTCTGGGCAGACCAGCATAAGTTCTGGTGAAAGTTTGACATCTTGAGAAGATCTTTTTTTTCAGGTTGAGCTAATAAAAACAGGCTCATGGGATTATTTCATCCCTGATTCTTAAGGGAATAGTGGTCTAAACACCATGTATCCATGACTGTTAGGGAGTCTTGTGGTGTGGTTGGAGGAGCATGAACTTGGTTGGGAGTCTAGAGCAGGAGCTGGTAAAGAATGCCTTGTGGGCCAATACCAGTCTGCTGCTTGTTTTGTACCACTCACAAGTTTAAAAATGGCTTTACATTTTTTAATGGTTGATAAAACTGAAAGAAGAATTTAGTGACTTGAGAACATTATAAGAAATTCAAGTTTCACTGTTCACATATTAAATTTTACTGGGACACAAGCATGCCCATTTGTTTTTGTGTTTTCTAGATCTGCCTCTGTTCTTACAATGTCAGAGCTGAATAGTGGTGACAGAGACCTGTGGCTCCCAAAGCCCAAAATTATTTACTGTCTGGCCCTTTCAGAAATGCTTGACGCCCTGGAGAATATAAAACATTGAGGCTGGATCTCTAAGGTGCTCGTTCAAGTTCTAGGACTTTGGAACTGAATAACGTGGTGAATTGTACAGCTGTGGTGAATTGCTTCAGTGCCATGGTTTTTTTTTTTCTGATTTATAAATATGAAAGGGAGATCCAAGACACTAAAATATTTGTTCTGAGACAGAATATATGTTGTTTCCATATATACACTACACCTTAAGAGAGTGGCAAGGAGGAGCGTTAATTTGTCAATTTGTGTTTAGAATAAACAATACATTCTGTTTATGATTGTCATAGTAAAAATGTCAAATATTTGTCATCTTTAAGAACAGTTACTGTAATGTCAAAAATCTATTGTATCCTTTTGAAAACCAGAACTTCAACAGAAAGTGTCTCCATAGCATCTTCTCTGCAGCAGCTTTGGTAACTCTTTGGTGCTAGAGTCCCATACACTGAGTTTGAAGAAAAGATGAAAAATGAACATTTATTAGATATTTTGTTTTTTTACCCAGCATTGAGTTCAGGACATAGCCCTCTGTGTAATAGACAAATATTATGTCTGAATTCTAGATTGCACAGGCAAGAACTATTTGAGGGAGACTTCATGAAAAAGGAGGGACACCAGCCGTGACCTGAAAGGCAAGCAGGATTTGGGAAGGTCAGAAAGAGGATGAGGGGCAGCATATGCAGGATTAGGGAGTGACAGGGATATGAAGACGCCAGCGAGGGACGCTCGGGCCAAGTTAAAGAAGTTTATTGCTTCCTTCCGAGGGGAGTCATTCTTCCTTTTCCGGATGTGTAGTTGCATACTTGTTCCCAGGATATGT